GCCCGACCTCCCCCGCCGTGCTTTACGGCTGCCGTTTCTTTGGGAGGTTGAAAGCTAGAGTCTCAGCTGGTCTGTCCAGTAGGAGCTTTTACCTCATCTTGGCTGCCTTAGTCCGTCGGCAATGACTGCCCTGTGCCTGCTAGAGTTTGGTACCAAGGAAAGAGGCCTTGTGCTTAGTTTTCCTGTCTTGGGGCTTTGGGCCGGTCCTATTAATCTTGCTGCTGGAGACTGTGTCAGTTGGGGCGCCGGAAAGGCTGACCACACTGGCTCTCTTGCCTGGCTGTGCCAGCTGGGGGCCCCCAGGCAGGCCCAAGCAGCCTGCCTTTCCTGTATCCCGTTGCCCTCAGCTCTAGGGTAACAGAGCCAGGGCATGAGACAAAAGACCAAGCTGCTCCCATGTGTAATCCCAAAGAACCAGAAATTCACATTCCTATAGCCTTAACTACGTGGTGTGAAGGAAGGCAGCTTACACAAGAGCAGGGGGCTGTTTTGTCCTCCCTCATTCCTGCCTTGTTCCGGAAGTCCATCAGAAACAGGTGGTCCTGAAAACCCCCACCTGTCTCAGCTGCAGCCTTAGAGGTCCCTGCAGCCTCCCACTCTACTCTCTACACCCTCTTTGGCCCCTGGTACCTGTGACCTCGCTACCTGCCGGAGGCCCAGCTTTTCTCCAAGACCCTGAAAACTCTGAGCCCTAGGGGTCCAGGCCTGGCCCCTGACTCCCCTGGACCACTCACTTACCTTCTCACCCAACTAGTTGTTTTTGGTTTTGTTTTTTGAGAGATTTTTGCTATAGGGCTCATGTGCTAGCTGGAGAGAGAGAGAGAGAAAGCAGACGGCCACACCCCAATCCCTTCTCCATTCTCCTTGTGATCTGGGGCACATGCACACGCACCCAGTTTTAAGCTGCTGGTCTGTAACTTGAACCATGGTCGGCTAAGTGGGAGACCAGCAATGTAACCATGACGCCATCTGCTGGTCCTTCCCCCAACCAGCTTTTCCAGCTGTACCTGGAGCCTGGCTCCTTGGTGTTTTCTAAGGAGAACCTCCCGCCCTGGCAGCCCTGCTCCCCAAGCCAACCTTCCCCTACCTGCCCTGCAGAGGGCCAGTGTGCAAACCAGCCTGGGAGCCTGGCTAGGAAGGTAGCTGCTGTTCTGGTAGAGGAAGGGTACCCCAGCTTCCCAAGGCCAGAGGAGAGACTGGCAATGAAGGTGAGGGTGACTACAGAGAGGCCCCACCCAGATCCTACACCCAGCACGTCAGCAGACAGCGCAGCACAGTCATTTTCCGAGTACTTAATCTGCCAGGCACCACTGGGAGCAGGGATCACAGGAAGAATGGGACAGTCTTTGCCCTCAAAGAACTCAGTCTATTGGGAAAGGTGTGGCTTCTTTCCTCTGGAGGGAACCGAAAACGAGACTCCGTCCCTCCCTGAAGAGTGGGATGGGGCTGAGGCAACCCGTTGTTTGGGACAGGCTGACCCACCTGGAAGCTGAGCAGTTGGGAGCAGTTCCAGATAACCTGGACTCCGCCCTGGTAGGTGCATCTGCAACCCACGGCCGATGCCCTCATCCCTGGCACCATGACCTGCCCCATCTCCAAACTCAGCTACCCAGGTTGCCTCAGTTAGCAAACAACCCCCAGAGGGCAGCAGAGTGAGTCAGAGCCCTGGGTCCCTCGCCAAACCTTGGTTCCCACACCCAGGAATTCAGGGTCCAAGATGCTGGTCTGGGAGCTTCAGGAAAGACAGCAAGGAGACGCTGGGACCTGGTTGGTGTCTGGCCTTTCTAACTAGAAGCTGAGCTTCCGGAGAACTTTCTAGTCCATTTTGGGAACTCAAAGTGAGACCAAGGGCAGGGCTGCTCATCAGCCAACACCCCCAGCCTGAAACCTCACTCCCCCTTCCTGTGCCCTGTCCTGCTCTTCCTCCTTGAAGCTCTTCCGGTTTACCTGGATTCTGACAAGGCTTCTTCCCCCAACCCCCTTGCCTCCTCTGGGGGGCCTGGGGCGGCCCTGGCTGCACTCCCAGGATGAGTCTGACAGGCAGAGCTGGGACGGGTCCCAGAGAAATGTGCTGCATGTCAGAGCCTGTGCCAGATGGGGGCCTGCTCCACTCCTGCAGGTACCTCCCAGCATGGGGTTCCCCAGCAGCTCCTCCCAGATACAAAAGGGGGGTGCATGCTTGCAGTCCCATTGGGCAGGTCCTGGTGGGGTGGATGCCTCTGTCTCTGACATTGCCCTTTTAAGAACCCCCCCAAGGGGCGGGGGAGCAGCAGGCAGGTTCTTGCTGCAAAAACCAGCACTGTGCAGCTCCCAGGCCAACCTGACCTGCGGGGGAAGGAAAGCTGAATACCTCTTCTCAACCTCTAAGTCCCCGGACCTTTGGATAGAGGTACGGGTCCCAGCGACCTCTGAGAAAGCCCTTTTTTCTGGAGGGAAGGGCCTCTCCAGCTGCCCTGATTGGTAGGTTCACAACCCTGCATTTCGGAATACTTCCCCCACCCCTCCATAGGGTGGTCTGGGAAATTCTTTTTTCTGAGGTGTAAATTACTAACAAGATGCTGTGATCCTTCCAGGAGACGTTTTTTTAAACCCCAAAGGAACCAAGAATTAAGCTCTTTAGTGTTCATCCTTCTTCCATCTTGTCTCAGTCCCCCACCCCCAAAAAAAAAAAAAAAAACCCTGCCCTTAAACTAGTCCTTGCCTACTTGGGCCCTGGATCTCCCCTTCATTCTGTGTCCCTCGTCCTTGCTTCGCTAGCTCTCCCCGAAACCTCCTCTCTCCCGCCCCTCCCTTCCCCACCCCTTCCCAGCAGTACCAACCTGCTTACATATTCCCCATCTTGGAACAGCGGCTGCAGTCCAGCCTCCCCTGTCAAATTACAACCCATCTGGCTCCTTTCCCTCTGAGATTAATGAGCAGCGGGCACTTGCAGTCTCGGCCCCCTCTCCACATTCAAGCCCTCCTATTCCCCACCCCCCTCAGAGAGGAGGTGGAATGTTCCAGACCTAGGGAACCGCGTGAGAGCAGGAGGGAGCAGGAGGAAGTGGGATGGCTGGAGTGCAGTGAGGGCCATAGAGTTGAGACTGGAGAAGCAGGCAGGGTAAGGAGGGGCACCTGGTCCTAAGTGCGGACTCTGTCCCCCTTCCATTCTCAGCATACTCCTCTACCTTCCCACGCTGGGGTCCCGAATCCACCCTCTCTCCTCTGAGTATCTCCACCAGGATCTCAAACCCAAATGTCCAAAATCTTGTCTGATCCTCTACCCTTCACCCTCCTTTCAATATCCTCACAGCACCCAAATACACATGGGGATCGCCCTGAACTACCTCCTCTAAAGCCCCAGTGGCCAGTCTGAGCTAGGGCCCATTGATTCTTCATCACTCCAATCTGCCCCTTGACAGCCGGTTCCTCAGCCCTACGTAGGCACTCCTGGGGTGTCACGACCTTGCTGGTCAGCCAGACCCCAGGCCCTCCTCCAGGTGCAGCCTCCGCACTGTGCCAGAGCAGGTTGGTCATCTGATCTTGCCCGTAGGCTCAGATGTGCCGGTGGATTTACACAGTCCAAACTTAGCCAGATCAGAGTGGCCCCAGCTCAGGTAGACAGGCTCTCTGCCCTCCTCACATCCACATGGGCTCTGAGCTCCAGCCCCCATGATTCTGCATGGCTCCCCGCCCTGCCCATGCTCTGCACCCCTCCATATTTGCAAGAGCTGTTCCTGCAGCCCTGATGCCTTTTCCTGCTGTCTGTGGAATTCCTCCTTGAAGGTGGCTCAAATGCCATCTTCTTTGAGAAGCTTTCCCTGCCTCTACTCCCACACAAAAATATTGACGAGTATAGCTCTGTGGCAGCATTTGTCTCTGCATTCAACTGGCTGCTCCCCGAGGCCGGAACTGGAGTCTTATTCACCTGTGTTCATCTCACACCCAGCCACGGAGGTCCAGAGGGCGGGAGAACGGCTAGGGGCTGGGCTGGACCCGGGCTCCCTCCTGCTCTGACAACCTTAACTAGTAAGATATACCAATGTTACTTTGGGATTTGCTTCTTAAGGCTCAACTCCAGGCTCGATCTCTTTCCTTCTATGCTCAGGAGCCAAAAAT